AAAATGATAAAATGTAATACATTCTGTAGTAAAAATGATAAAATGTAATACATTCTATAGTAAAAATGATAAAATGTAATACATTCTATAGTAAAAAGGGGAAAATGTAATACATTCTATAGTAAAAAAAGATAAAATGTAATACATTCTATAGTAAAAAGGGGAAAATGTAATACATTCTATAGTAAAAAGGGGAAAATGTAATACATTCTATAGTACAAAAGGGAAAATGTAGTTAGGAAGTGGTTTCATTGGTTATTTTTTGAAAGCTAAACAAATGAGCTTGTAGTCCCTAACTTTGAACTCTTGGCACATTAAGTACTAGCTAGGAAATATTATGTGAAATATGTAGACACACACATGTATATAAACTAACAAAAAGACTAAAAATTAGTAATAATTATTTATGTTGGAACGTTGTGTGATACCGTTGAGAGATCATGACTTTTAACTATATAGAACAGGAACTCCGTGTGATACCGTTGAGAGATCATGACTTTTAACTATATAGAACAGGAACGTTGTGTGATACTGTTGAGAGATCATGACTTTTAACTATATAGAACAGGAACGTTGTGTGATACCTTTGAGAGACCATGACTTTTAACTATATAGAACAGGAACGTTGTGTGATACTGTTGAGAGATCATGACTTTTAACTATATAGAACAGGAACGTTGATACTGTTGAGAGATCATGACTTTTAACTATATAGAACAGGAACGTTGTGTGATACCGTTGAGAGATCATGACTTTTAACTATATAGAATAGGAACGTTGTGTGATACTGTTGAGAGATCATGACTTTTAACTATATAGTAAGAACGTTGTGTGATACTGTTGAGATCATGACTTTTAACTATATAGAATAGGAACGTTGTGTGATACCGTTGAGAGATCATGACTTTTAACTATATAGAATAGAAACGTTGTGTGATACCGTTGAGAGATCATGACGTTTAACTATACAGAATAGGAACGTTGTGTCATACCGTTGAGAGATTATGACTTTAGCCACTTGTTCGTCAAATACTTGCAAAGTTTTATGTTTTGTTCCATACAAGTCTTCGAAAATATAATAGTTTTTAAAGTTACAACTTGTCAGCAAAAACATGGCCTAACAAAATCGCTAAGTAGATAAGTAGGAGGTCGGGGTGGGGGCTTCAACCTGAAGCAGGCTATAATTATTATTATTTTTTCACCTTACGTATTATTACTGCATATATATTCTCTAACACATATCTTCATAGTACAGAGTATAAATCAAATTATGCGCTGGTTGAATTAAACAGAAATATTTACTCGTTTTGTATTTCAAAATGGGCCGTTAAAAGCTTTAGAAAGTGAATTATTAGGGTTTTACGTAATATTACTTTTTTCGCTCTTAAGATTTGTAATGAAAACGTGCTATTTGTTTGAGAAATTCCATTCCTGTCACAAGTAAAATTATAACCACGTGCTTCTGAGCCACACTATCCACCCCAACATTGACCAAGGGCAGAAAATTTGGCTTCAAAGTAGCTCGTGCTCTCGGTAAACAAAAGAGGCCGAGTGAATCACATCATTCCACATTTACGAAGATTTACAGTTATTACCTTACTTAATCCTTTAAGGCTGAACATAGGGACAAGCTTTAAACATTCAATATGTCAGGCACGTATCTTGAAAATTACACGTAAATAAAAGTTTGAAGTTCCATTAAAATATGAAACTTTCTCTCCGATTTTCATTTATATGGCACATTAATCTAATAAAAGGCTTAAGGTTCTTTTTTATTATTCATAATTTCCAACTTGTAAAAACAATTATACAAAAGAAAACGTTCTTCGGCTTACAGCCTATCAGGTTAAATATTAAAATGAGAGAGATGTGTGTGTGTGTGTATATATATATATTTATACATTAAGAGCCTAATGGGCCAGTGATAATTTGAAACAAATTAGCATGTACTGTTAGAACAACTGATGGACAAAATTCTATCTCGTACTCGTAGTTATGTTTGAAGTTTGAATTTTCAGCAAACATAAAACATAAATAAGTCTTAGGATGCATCTAATGTGCAGAAATTATCAGTAAAAAGTTATGCGTTTTTTTTTTAAATTGGGTGAAGTTATGTTTGTTGTGCAACGCTTCAAAATGGTGCTGTACCCTCTGTAGGAATCGAACCCGAATTTTACTGCAGAGTCACCAAGGAGCAAACGTCACAACTGTACTGTTATTAGCCCTCAAGCTTAGTGCTTAGCCAGCAGGGGGCAAACGTTACGCCACTAACGACATACTAACCAGCTTAAAAGTGTACAAAATGAGACCTTGTTGTTCTTATCCAAACTGTGTGAAGAAAGGCGCAGTTGACCTCTGACATTTGCTCGATGAGTTGAAGTTAGATTTCGCATAAAACTGCTATATTTCTCGAACCAGCAACACCAGCTCATTCTAGAACTGTGTTATAAATAAATAGGCAAACCTCTTGGAAATATTTCTCTGTACTTATTGACAAAAATTATTCCTGTTTACCGTTTTAGGTATTTTACTTAAGCTTCTTGAAGTGAAAATCTTAACATTAAAACACCTGTTTCCCTCTTAAACGTTTATCTGGACTCTTGACCCCTTTTTTAAACAAGTATATGCTGTACAAACGAACGTCGTTTTTGTCTTATTTTTGAAAACTGTGACAAACTTTACTTAAGATTAAATGAGATAAGAATGTTAACGGTACTCTGAAATATTTTTGGTGCTAGAATTATGGAATAAAAGGTCAGAATTCAGCATTGAATCCACGGGAATGTTAATGAAGTATACCTATTTAAATAGATGCGTCTATGTATATACAACTCGTGGTCTGAGAGTAATTTACACTAAAAGTGAAGGGAAGATTTACTTTAAATCGAAAGTAATGTCCTAAACCTCTTGAAATGCTACTGGGAAAAGTGTTCAGTATTGAGAGGTAAACATGAAGACTGAATGATCGTTTATCTTCTGTAAATACTGATCATGTGACTGTGTACGTCATATATACGGGGTAAAAAGGTTTGTACGACTTAGTTTTACATCTCTCATGTTTATATAAAGTCCATTACATATACGTTGTAAAAAATGGGTTAGTGTGCTAACCTGCGGTGCTGAGGTCCCCCCCCCCCCAAATAGCACTCCATGGGCGCGTTATAAGAGTGGCGGTCAAAACCTACTATTCGATAAAGTTGGTTGCACCATGAATAAGTTGTATAAACGAGACTGCGTGTGTGTACGGGATATCCTGTTATCATAGATATTCACAAAATAACACGCTAGAATTATTACCCAAACCCATCTAAACACGCCCACAGGATATGAAGTACCGGCAGCTGTAACAGTAACTTACAGGATGCTATGAACTTTAAACTTTTCGTTGACATCAGTATTGTCACTTACCAGATGAGCCAGTTGCGACGTACGTGTAAGAACCACGTGACCATGGATCGGCTCGCCAGCGAGTAACCACCGTCTCCTTGGGCTAAAGGGACAAAAATGTGTAAAGTTAACTTAGTAGTTTAAGCAAAATTGTTTATGCCCCTTGTTTTCTTACGTTGTAAGTGCGTTATTATAACAGCTGCATAAAAGTAGGAAGCAGGACTGTGTAAAGGTAAGATGAATAGGCATAGAATTAAGAGATGAAAAAACAATGAACACTGCCTATAGTTTTTCATTCCTGTTTTGTTGTTGTTGTTAATAGGGTAATATGTATAATAATTGAAAAACAAAAAACTGACAGAAGGCGAAATATTATTAAAACAACTGTTACACTTTACCTATTTGGATTTTTTTTATATTTTTGTAACGTCATTTAAACGGTTAACATTTACTTTTATACAGCTATGATTCGCACATACATAACTTAAGCTATGGCAGTTTATCGCGGTTAAAAGTACAATCATTATCTATATATATGTTTCCGTATCGAAATTATTTTTGTTCAAAATAAATCTGTAAGAACAAACCCAACTTACTTGTGGAACTGCACTGTTTCCAAAAATGCCTTTCAGAACAGCGATACAACGGCCAACGATGACGTCATCGCTTACATTTTCCATGATGGCGGCTGCCTCACCTGCGACGAGTGCAAGAAGAACAGGAGCACGATACAGGTTCCAAAAAAGAAACAATTCTCCTCTACTGGCCGTGGTGCTACCGACATGTCCGAAGAGGTTGGCATTTGGATCCCAGAATACTCGATCGAAACACAGTACTACCTACAATTACGTAACAAATAAACAAACGTATACATACGCATAGATACAAGATTGAGAGGTTTTAACGGACTACTAAGATCCGTTTCAATCTGCTGTACTCTATCTGATCGATTACTATACTAAATTCTACCCACATCTACCCAAAGTCCCAGTAGGTGATGAAGTTCGTCAAAATCTTTAACATGACCTACTACAATGCTCCACCTAAGCCTTCTTTAACATGATCTACTACAATCTTTCACATGACCTACTAAAATCCTCCACCTAAGCCTTCTTTAACATGACCTACTACAATCTTTCACCTAAGCCTTCTTGAACATGACCTACTACAATCTTTCACCTAAGCCTTCTTTCACATGACCTACTACAATCCTCCATCTAAGCCTTCTTTTATATGACTTACAACAATCCTCCACCTAAGCCTTCTTTATAGATATACAAGCAACTGTACCGATCCCCAGTGACGGGAAAAGTTTAAGTTAATCTATCAATTTAAATTACTTCACAGACTTTAAAAAGGTTAATTGTGTTGCACTATTGCTTTCGCTCAGAGCTAAAGCTCTGATCTACTTATATCACCCACCACGAAAAGTAATTGCTGAGCATTTCAGTCATGCTACGAACCACTCAACAATAACATTTTTATTCTTTACGTTTCGTCACATTTTGAAATGTGAATTAAGTGTGATTAATTCCTAACAATTTAGTGTTGAATATTTTGCCTGCGAAATACAATTTGTCATCAACATTATTCATGCCTTTTCTCCCGTCATTTCAAAACTGAATTTTGAGCTCTGCCTGCGTGTGCAGCTTTTAAAACGGGAGACAGAAGAACGCTCGGACAGACACCACGGTTCGCGATATATCTCAGTAAAAACATATAAAAAATATAGATAATAAAAGGTAGTACTGAGTGGTTATTGTATTGTTATGCTATGTCCGATATCTTGTACGTTTTTGTGTCTGTATTCAGTTTCAGCAAAAACTTGTGTCGTGTTAGAACATCTATATCAAAACCGACTTCGGTATGTTATTATCAAAACAAAGTACTGACAGACATTTCACCGAAAATACATAACGAAAATTTTCTTTATCAACCCAAAAAACTCCCAAAATATATTACACGACTAGTTTCGACTGAGGCCCACATAAGCTGACAGTCACCAAGTTTTGGATATAGGCTTGAGTCGGAAAGAATTTAATATTTTGTGTGAAATGATTTCGGTATAATAGGTTTACTTTGATCATTTCTCTAGCTACTACCGGGTTGTTAGATTTGATATTTGGTTGTTCCGAAGACCAAACAAAATTACAAAACGATATATACAAACCAAACTATCTAACTTTCAAACAATACTCAAGCACGAGTCTGCGTAGCTATGTTCTGCACAGTGATATTGTGGTTTTATTATTTAATCAAATAACGATTCTAATAATAAAGTGAATAGGAAAATCCACACAAAGCACCAATAACCATTTTTAAGCACACCTCAGAAGGAGGCTCATAACAACTGATATCGCAATAAATAAATTATAAATCATGCACCTACAAAAATGTTAAAACGATTTTGTGGGAACTTTCCCGTAATAATCAAGCGGTTGGTAACAAACTTAGTCTAAGATTCCAAAACGATAAGTTAACTACCTTGTTAAGGTTACCGAATCCCAATCTCTGAATGGCTGCCACTTTCCAGTCCGGAAGTGGCGGAACAAACTGAACTGTGTTCAGTACTGACTGGTTCCCCTGAACGGCTTGTTTGAGGACTCCCAAAGGTAGGGTACACAGTACAGCATCACCCTTAAAACTCATTAGTCCAGCATTCGTGCGAGTGTTATAAGCAAGGACTTCAACCCCTGATGAAGAAAAATGGTCGTTATTAATCGCAATGTTCACTCTATTCTAATTACTACTATACAAAACGTAAGCCTAAAAGTGGTTAAAATAACAATATGTTAAATATAAAATAACTTTAAACAAGTTTCTTTGTTAAGATATATGAGCGAGGTTTCTTCTGTATCTAATTCAACAACACAAGAGAAAAGAAAACTTCACTTTCACACTTTAAACATATACAGGCCTATCACCCATGTTATGACCCTACATCAAAGCATGATCAATTATGCACAGAATCTTTAAAATAAAAATAATAGTCCTGTTTGTATATTTCAGTTTGTTTGCTTTAAGCGCAAAGCTGCACAACAGGCTGTGTCCACTGCGGGAAATCGAGCCCCGGATTTTGGCGTTGCAAGTTCTTGAACTTATCGCTGACCAACCAGGTAGTCATCTTCTATTCATCCACGTGCAGTGCGATACTAACAGAACATTAGTAACACTATAAGTGTTTGTTTGTTAAGTACAAAGCTACACAAGGGGTTATCTGTGCTGAACCTCAGGTTTTTCTCGAATAAATAAAAATACAATAAATACAATTAGTGCGACGACACATTAGCACGTGCTTGCAACCGATGTTACAGAGATATGTACGGGTTTTTGACCAAAAAAAAAAAAAGAAGAAGAAGGAAATATATATCTATGTCATCTTTCTGTATAAAATATTAGATGATCGTGTGATAAGAAAAACTATTTAAATTGATTACACAACTTGCCCTAGGAGAATTGAATTTCACCACAGGTACAATGAAAATCAGAAGTTTTATTCAACAAATTGTGTTTCAAGAGCTGAGAGGTCTATGATACCCGTCATACCCAAGCAGCATATCATGCCCATTCCTAAATGAACTTCGTCTGTTCTGACTGTTCCTCCCTATATCCAGGGCCGTAGAAGTACGTTTTGTATTGGGGGTGAACTCACGTTATAACATTTTTCAGTTATGTTTGTCAAAGCATCATTGATCATACCCGTAATACCATATTTAAATACAACAAAGAAAATAGCATAAGTAGGTTATAATTTACCTACTGGCAAAAACAATAAATTTAAGTTTGTTTTGGATTTCGCGCAAAGCTACACGAGGGCTATCTGTGCTAGCCGTTTCTAATTTAGCAGTGAATGACTAGAGGGAAGGCAGCTAATCATCACCACCTACCGCCAACTCTTGGGCTACTCTTTTGCCAACGAATAGTGGGATTGATCGTCACATTATAATGCCCCCACGGCTGAAAGGGCGAGTATGTTTGGTGGGACATTTAAGAGATTCTTATAATACATAGATAAGTTTATATATATATATATATATATTTTAAAATAACATTATTTGGATTTGCTACAAAACAACAAATAACATGTATTTTACAGGTAACTCCCGAGTAATTTATTTTTCAGATTTCTCAACAGACAATTCTTCCAACCATTCATTATTTATAAGCCCTAACACAGTCAACAGTAGCCTGGTTTTATAAATGAACATTAATTATTAATGTCTTGTTCCAGTAGGATGTAATGCATATATTATGTGTTTAGACCAGTCAAATGTAATGCATATATTACGTGTTTAGACCAGTCAAATGTAAAGCTGTACCGTCTATAATATTTCGTTGGCTTTAAAATACCGACATAGTAATAACAATGTTTAATTATGTTTTACATAGCCTGTTGTTTAGAAATTATTGGAGACGTGCCTCCCCTCCCCCGATATCCCTCACACTGACATGCATTTTATTTAAAAGTATCTGTACCATGCTCAAACATTCCCGATTAAAATGCGTGATTGTCATTGTTTATTTTAAGTTAAGCACAAAGCTACACAATGGGATATCTGTGCTCTGCCCACCGCAGGC